GTTGTTTGGCGGGTCTGGGCTGGGGATTCGAACCCACCACCTTAGGTGTACGTGGCTGGCACCTTAGCCGGTTGAGCTATAGGCGCCGAGCCAGAATCTGAATTTCTAACAAGTCCCCAGGAGTTGCTAAGCTGCTGATCTGGGCCCAGCATTTTGAGAAGCAATGTTCTAAGACCCACCTCAAATGTAACATACAACTGAAAACACCACAGATAACACATTCAAAATATTCCAAATGTATACCTTGCCATTTCTTTGTTAACTCTGGTCCTCATCTCATCTTCCTCAACTGCACTTGCCCAGTCTGAACATCTAGAACGGGGCTTGGGACCTTCAGGAGTGGTAAAACTGTAATAAAACGAAAATGCATATTTGAACCACGATACATACTTTCAGTTTCCTTTCCAATTGTATGTCAAGAAACAGTCATGAAAATAAAAACTCCAAGGCTGTTTAGAGCTGCCAAGGGAACAGGCTTCAGAGTTGAGGAGTCAGAGGTGAAAGAGACTCTGCTCCATAACTTAACTGGTTCACTGAGTTTGGGCAATTTGCTTAAAGCCTCATTAAACATCTGCCTACCTACCATGTGTCAGCATTGGCTAACTCATGGGGACACAGTAGCCCACAGAGAGTGAAAGGAAACCAAGTCAACAAGTCACTATTAGCACTGAGAAGAGAACCTAACATGACTCACTATATTTGCAAAATGAGCTTTTTCCATGAGTTTTAAAACAATTTCAGATAATATACACTCATTACTAAGCACAGCGACCAGAACATGGCAGGACCTAATATGTGGCATATGTGAGATATATAGTGGCTAATTAAACGCATGTAATTAATTCAGAATATATCACACCCAAATTAACACGTGTATGGGAGGGCAATAAGTATATATCAGAAGATGCACTAAGCCTTAGTCTACTGGTAAAAGCAACCCTGACAGTTGAGTTAAAGCTAATCTAGGAGCTCAGGTCTACCTCAAGCTTAAGGAAATCTTTAATCCTAATCAGGAAATTTGGGAAAGGGGAAAAAAAAAAGAGGACACAATTTGGAAACTTAAAGCTCAATGACAAAAGTTTTGGCAGTCAGAATTGCTAATGTGTCTATTATTTATATTTGATGCAAACTTACATTTTTCCACCCCCCCTTTTTTTTGAGGCAGAGTCTCACTTTCTCACCCCCAGTAGTGCCATGGCATCCCAGCTCACAGCAACCACAAACTCTTGGGCTCAAGTGATTCTCTTGCCTCAGCCTCCCAAGTACCTGAGACTACAGGTACCTGCCACAACACCCAGCTATTTTTAGAGATGGGGTCTCAGCTCTAGCTCAGATCTGGTCTTGAACTAGTGAGCTCAGGCAATCCACCCACCTTGGCCTCCCAAAGTGCTAAGATTATAGGCATGAGACACGTTGCCCAGCCCCTTCCACCCCATTTTTCTACTGCCCACCAATGATATATCAAAACTAAAGATTAATTCCAACTACACCAAATAAGCAATCTCATATATTTTAGTAGTGAACAAAATGATGTGCTTCATAAGTGCAATTGTAGTAACAAATGAATAATTCCCTTATGTAGGTATTTCTTCCCACCAAAGTAACTTAAATTTAATTTCTAAAATTGGCAAAGTCTCATATCAAATTAACTAACTGAAAGTTAAATTGACTCAGTAATTGTGTTGCAAATAAAGAACCAAATGGATGCTTGTCCAGGATTGGACAATGACATCCTCACTAGTGTATCAAGAGGTTCAGATCTGAGCCTCCAGCAGGAATTTGAACTACAAAAATTTTCTTTTTCTTTTTGAGACGAGGTCTCACTCTGTCACCCCGGGTGCAGTGCAAAGGTGTCATCATAGCTCAGCACAATCTCAAACTCCCAGGCTCAAGCCTCAGTCTCCCAAATAGCTGGGACTAAGACCCACGCCAGCACATCCAACTAATTTTTTATTTTTGTAAAGACAGAGTCTCACTATTTTGCCCAGGCTGATCTCAAACTCCTGACCTCAGGTGATCCCTCCACCTTCCAAAGTGTTGGGATTGTGATATGAGCCACCATACCGACCAGGAATACTTTTAAAAGTACATATGGGCTCGGCGCCTATAGCTCAACCGGCTAAGGCGCCAGCCACGTACACCTAAGGTGGCGGGTTCGAATCCCCAGCCCGGACCCGCCAAACAACAATGATGGCTGCAACCAAAAAATAGCCGGGTGTTGTGGCGGGCGCCTGTGATCCCAGCTACTTGGGAGGCTGAGGCAGGAGACTCGCTTGAGCCCAGGAGTTGGAGGTTGCTGTAAGCTGTAATGCCACGGCACTCTACCCAGGGGGACAGCTTGAGGTTCTGTCTCAAAAAAGAAAAAAAAAAAAAAGTACATATGAAATAACCTTATCCTGCATCTCATGTTCGTGTACCTTTTATGGAACTAAAGTCCGACAGGTCATACTCAAAATCTACTCTATCATGGGACAACAAAGCCCATTCTTTACACTAAGTTAAACCTATTTCCAAAAGGACCACTTCCTGCCCTACTCCATCAACGAAACAACCAGCACACCCCAGCCCCTATGGAGATGTAACTGGCACTGTTTCTCAGGTACCACCATGCATGAACCACAAAAAGCCAATACCAAGTGCCAAGGTCCCAGGACAGAGCATTCCTGCCATGTTGGAGGAACAGGCTGGAAGAGTACCAGTCCAGTTACCAAGGGCTTCATGTCTTATCTTTTAAGATAGACTACTTCTCTATCTACACTTCTTTACTTTTTTTTTTTTAAGAGATAAGAGTCTCACTTTGTTGCCCTTGATAGAGTGCAATATCACAGCTCACAGCAACCTCCAGCTCTTGGGCTTAGGCAATTCTCTTGCCTCAGCCTCCCAAGTAGCTGCGACCACAGGCACCCACCACAACGCCCAACTAATGTTTTAATTAAATCATAGCTGTGTACATTAATGCAATCATGGGGTACAAAGTGCTGGTTCCACACACAATTTTTTTTGAGACAGAGCCTCAAGCTATATCCCCTGGGTAGAGTGCTGTGGCATCACAGCTCACAGCAACCTCCATCTCCTGGGCTCAAGCAGTCTCCTGCCTCTGCCTCTGCCTCCCAAGCAGCTGGGACTACAGGTGCCCGTCAAACGCCCGGCTATTTTTTGGTTGCAGCCGTCATTGTTGTTTGGTGGGCTGGGGCTGGATTCGAACCCACCAGCTCAGGTGTATGTGGTTGGTGCCTTAGCCGCCAAAGCTACACACACAATTTGAAATATTTTCATCAAACTGGTTAACATATTAGCCTTCATTGCATTTTCCTAGTTATTCACAGCATTTTCCTAGTTATTGTGTTAAGACATTCATACTCTACACCTAGTAAATTTCACATGTACTTCTGGCTACTTTTTTGTTGCAGTTTGGCTGGGGCAGTTTCAAACCCACCACCCTCAGTATATAGGGACAGTGCACTACTAACTGAGCCACAGGTGCCACCCTATCTCCACTTCTCACTATGTAAGACAGGCCACTGGAGCGCTCAGAGCTTGATCTCATATTCTTTTTCACGCCTAGCTCTTGGGCTGTCCTAGGACCTCTCCCACACCTACCCCTAATCCCAAGTCTATGTGCCGATAACTCACAGGGTGCCTGGCAAAGCCTTCCTACCCACACTCCTAGATCCCATTATCTCCTCAACATCTCCACTTGCTGTCTAAGAACCTTCCATTCCCAAGCAGGTCTGCGCCACTCCTATTTCTTTATCCTAGAAATGGCCCCACAACCAACTCAGGCGTTTGGGCTTAAAGACCCAAGTCATCTTCCATGTTCCTCCTGCCCCCAGCAATTCACTCATCAGCCCCTACAGGTCCTGGTCCAGTAATCTATCCTGAGCCTGCATTCCCTACCACCTTCAAGGCTCCCCTTGACCAAATCACCACACCCTTTCACTGGAGCTTAGCAGCAGCCCTTGCCCTTATCCTCTGGTCACTTCACAAACATTCCCACCTGTGAGCTTTGGCACATAGCTCCTCACAGGGATCTGCACAGAGATCATCCCCATTTCCTCCCAGTCACCACCAGAAGATGCTCCAGGAGAGGCCTTCCCTGACCCTGGCCCAAACAGCCCCCCACCACAGTCACCCCCCTCTGAGTTACTATTTGACTTGCTGTCCCACCACATCAGGTTAGAGCACAGAACACAGCACTTGCTCCACTCACCCCGGCAAGCTGCCCAACCTACAAAGTGCTCAGGTCAGCACCACAGAAGCCCAGCACTGGAGACCTGGCTGTCACTCAACACCCTCTTCCAGGCCCGTGGCTTAGGCCTATAATCCCAGCACTCTGAGAGGATCGCTTGAGCTCAGGAGTTAGACACCAACCAAAGCAACCGGTCTCTACTAAGAATAAAAAAACAACCCCGCCTTATAACAGGCACCTGTAGTCACAGGTATTCGGGAGATTGAGGCAGAAAGAGCTCTTGAACCCAGAGACTGAAGTTGCTGTGAGCTATGACACACCGCACTCTACCCAAGGCAAAACAGTGAGACCCTGGCTCATACAAAAAAAAAAAAAAAACAAAACTCCTTCCACCCTCCAGCTCCTCCTCCAAATTGACTCTGAAGAGTGACCTACGGACGCCCGACTACCGCACCGCACACTTGGTCCGCGCCGTCCCCGCCACGCTCCCCGGACACAAGGCTCCCCGCGTCGACGCGCACAGGCCTCCGGGGCGCCCAGCAGCTCCGCTCCGCCCCGCCCGACCCGGCCGCGGGGTCCCCGCCTGAAGCCCCTGACCGCCGCGCCCGCCTCGCAGTCGTTTCCCTCGCACAGTAGGGCACGGCCTGTCCCGGCGTCTTTCGAAAGCGGAGCAAAGAAGCCCCCACAGCAGCTTCTCCGAGGGCCCCACGCGCCCTTCCAGACCCCGCCCCGGCGGCCTACGGCCCACCTCTCGGGCCTGCGGTCGGCGGCCCGGCACTCGTCCTGCTCGGCGTCCTCGGGCTTCCTGCGCCTCCCGTCGGCTCTGCGCTTCCGTCCGAGGCTCCATCTCGCGGGGGACGGCGGGCTGGGGGCAGAGACGCGGTCGGCGGGTCTCGGAAGGCCAAGGACCCCCGGCCCAGCCCGGGCCCGCAGACGCCCGCCCCACACGCGACCCTGATGGGCCACCGCTGGCGCGCGCGCCCGGGACCAGACCCGAGACCCCCGCGGCCGCGCGGCCTGGCCTCACCTCGCGTCGCCGTCACAGCGGCTCCCGTACTTGGACGGGCTTCGAGGCCGGGAGGCCATGGCTGCGGCGGGCGCGCTGGGCTGCTGCAGCGGCGTCGACCTGAAGAACGACCTCCCCGCGCCGGCGCCGACTAGCTCTATACTCCCCGCCCCCACAACAGCCTTTTATAAGGTCGCTGGCCCCGCCCCCGCGGCGCTCCCGCGCGCTCCGGGTCAGGCGAAACCATTCCGCCCACCAAGTGGGGGCGGCCCCTTAGCTGCGCCCGCCCCACGAGGCGACTAAAGCGAGGCTCAGGCCCCAGGACCGTAGTGGGAAGGTCGGTCTCACTGCCAGACGCCCCTCTGGCTGTCTGAAGAGAGAGCCGAGGGAAAGCTTGCCCCCGCACTGAGACAGCAGGGTCGCTGCGGGACCCTCGAGCGCTGAAAGGTCGCTCCTTCGCGGGCGGGGGATGGGTATTGGCGGGAGATTCGGGCGCGCGCTACGCTAGCGCGGGGGATGGGAACAAGAGGCACATTCCGATTGGTCCCAACCTGTTGGGCGCACCTACGCGCTGGCGGGAACCCGGAACCCGGAAGCTGCGGTCCTTTGAGCGGGGTTTGGTGCCACCCGACCTAGCGGACCGCAGCCCGCCCACAGGTAGGGGCGTAAAGATGAACTCGAAGTCAGGGCTATCCCCAGCTCCTTATGGAAAGAGAATAAAGGCCTTGGGCACCTGTGAAGAATTGTCCCCACATTAAGGAAATTCGTTGCAGGCCTCTCATAAGGACGCGCAAATTGTCACTACATCTGGCATTTGAAACTAACACTAATAATGAATTACAAGTTTATCTTTACAGGTAACAACTGGAGACAACACAGAATCAGGCATTCTTCCAACCTACCCAGGGATGTCTGTGTAATTGATGTTTCCTTCACTCCCTTTTTCTCTTCTAACATTCTCCTTGTTTTATGTAAAATATGGATTTCTTGGGCCTCACAAGAATGTAACCCCATTGCAGCGTCACCTCCTTCTCTCTGCCTTCAAAATGCTGAAGGTTCCAGGCCAGGTTCCGGTGGCTCATGCCTGTAATCCCACCTCTGGGAGGCAGAGGCAGACGGGGTCCCTTGAGTTCAGAAAAACAGCCTGAGCGAGACCCCCTCTCTACTAAAAATAGAAAAACTAGCTGGGCGTAGTGAAGGGCACCTGTAGTCCCAGCTACTCGGGAGGCTGAGGCAGGAGTATCGCTTAAGCCCAGGAGTCTTGAGGTTGCTGTGAGACTATCTCAAAAAAAAAAAAAAAAGTCTTGGAGTAATCTAAATTTTAGACTTCAGTAGCTGAGCAGCATACTGATCAGGGCGGTTGCACTGCCCTCACTGTTGGCCACACACCTGCCACTGGCTGAACTGCTTATCTCCACCCTTGAGGCTCCCTACCAAGTGCCTGCACTCACAGGCTCCCAACTTGTGGATTTAAGGAGTCAGTCCCACCCTCTCCCTGTTTCTGGGGTCAGCTGGGCCTGCCTGGAGGCAAGATGCTTGTAGACTCCCTACCCTGTCCACGGTTGGACAACCTTTTCACCCAGGTTTCCAGGTGAAAAGAGTATGTAGTGAGGTCAGGTCAAGGAGACTGAGCAGCCAGGGAAGGTTTGGAATCCCCCTTACCCCCCACACCCCTGGAGGGCCAAGCTTTTGCACACGCTGCCCTCAGGACAGCACCTTGGTGTGCCTTCTGCCTCCTCCATTTTTAATTCAGGAAAGTCACGCCCAAACTGGGACAGCCACATCCTGTCCCCCTGTTTCTCCTAGGCTCCAGGCATCCCCACATTAAGGAAACTAGCACTAATAATGAATTACAACCCTCAACACAGAACTAAATGTCCCCAAGTGCCTGTGGGCCCTAGGGTCTGACATGGTCTTTGAGTACATGTTTCCCAGTCCCTATGTTGTCATCAGTTGAAGCAGCATTGGCCTGTATATGCAAAAAGGAATGAAGGTGACAACAAAGCCCCACACTGGAGAGAATCAGAAGGCATTTTTCTTGAAAGAGGATTCAGAAAAAGAATCAAAAGACCTGGGGCAGCACCTGTAGCTCAAAGGGGTGGGGCGCCAGCCCCATATGCTGGAGGTGGCAGGTTCAAGCCTAGGCCCAGCCAAAAACTGAAGGCAAAAAAAAATCAAAAGACCCTCAGAGCCCAGAAAATGCAAGTCCACTGTCCTGTTTTTCAAAGAGGTTACAGGAACTGCTTCCCCAAGAAACATTCTGTAGGTCAAGGAGCACAATGGGAATAGTAGCACATGCTGTCTGTCGGGATGGGGTGCCTCTTGGAGGCCCAGCGCCATCAGGAATCCCAGGTGCTGCCCAGAGAGCCTGGCCAAGGTGAGACCCAGGGATGAGCTAACCACAGGTCCTGTCTGGCTGCCCCTGGTGGTCCACTGGCAATTCCTGGGCCACCCAACCCACAGCAAGGCCAGCAAAGACTGCCCCCACAGGACACAGCTACTAGCACAAGAGTGGATCAGCAGGGGCCACTCACTCATTGGGCACCAGTGTGTGCCCCCAACAGCTCCTGCATCTGGAAGCAACCACAGTGATTTTCCACCACCCCCCATAATGCACGACAGGAGACCTCCAAGGGCCCAGGCTTTCCACACATAGGAGAGGAACAACTATTGTTCCTGCAGGTGGCCCTGGGGCCTCCAACTAGAAATCAGGGGACACTTCCTGCGGTGCCAGGCTCCTGACCAATGTGTTTTCCTCTTAGTCTGAACAACATATGCTCATTGACATGTGCGCAACAATTCTGCCTCAAGAGGACTTCTCCAGCATCTCCCAGCTACTTCCCCAGCTGTTACAAAAGCAGAGCTCTGTCACCCAGGCTAGAGTGCCATGGTGTCAGCCTAGCTCAAACGATCTTCTCAGCTCAGCCTCTTGAGTAGCTGGGTCTACAGGTACCACCATGCCCCCCCAATTTTTCTATTTTTAGTAACACAGGGTCTCTCATTTGCTCAGGCTGGTCATAAACTCCTGAGTTTAAGGGATCCTCCCACCTCAGCCTCCCAGAGTGCTGGGATTACAGGCCTGACCCACGGCACACAACCCAAAAACCTGGTTTTAACATCAGGTAAAGCAAAATACAGGATATCTCTTCAGACTAACATTTTATTAAGTACTGCGTCATTTAACTACAACAGATTTGTCCCTATAAAACTAAGTAACTTCTCTTGTAGTAAAAATAACCCCTAACCATCTGGCCCCTCCTTGGCCCTTGAAACTCTGGAGTGAGACTGAGTCTGGCTCCTGACTACTGCCCCTAAGCAGCCGGAAGAGCCCAGAGAAAAGCTGAGTTTTCTCTGCTCCCAAATCCCGGGGCCAGGTGTAGCCTTGGGCAAGTCAGGCCAGCTGAAGCTGTCACCCCTACTTGAAACAGCCAAGCTTAGGGGTTTAGGGCCATCTGCCACCTGTGTCAAAGAGCTGTGCTTGGGGCCTGGTCAGCATCTTCCCTGCTCCCTCACCTGTACCCATCAAAGCCTTGACCACAGGGGGTAACCCCTTCTGAATCAGGCAGAGCCCGCAGTAATGGCAAGCCCAATGTGCATTCCTGGGAAGGACAGATTTCTGGCCCCCACTCCCCACCAAGAGTCTGAGGCCTCAGCCTTCCTTAGACTTGTGAGGGCAGCAGTAGGCACCAGGGCAGGTGCCCTTCCAGAGGCAGGTGGCCCCATGAGTGAATGAGGGCCGCCTTGACCTGCCCTCCCATCACCTCCCACCAGGAAGCCCAGGAGTACTCCCACGCTGCAGTGTGCGCTCTTCTCCACCCCCACCGTCAGGCTCTGACTAGGGACTCCAAGCAGCCTCTGTAGTTGGGGAGGGGCCTACTCAGGACGGCCAGTTCTAGGAAGCAATGGGAGAACAGACCACAGCTACCCGGGTGAATCTGAGTCTGGCACAAAACCGAGAGACAGATGTGCTGCAAAAATTTAAGGCAAGTGGCCCAGCTGACGACCAGCTGGAGCAGATCCCAGGGTCTCCCAAAAGATGGCTCTGTGTCCAATATTCGCCCCTACCTGGAGACAGGTGAAGGAGGAAGGGAAGAGGTGTGAAGACCCTTCCCACTACCACGGGGGGGCAGTGTTTCCACAAGAATTTCTTTTTAAACAAAAGTTCCCAGCCTGCCCTCAAGGCAGAGGCAGACACTGCAGATTGAGTGTGCTTTGACTAGAGCCCTTGGCAGTGGAGGCCTGGCTGCTCTGTCATGCCCCAGGGCTGTTGGGGCATGGGGCAGGCCCGAGGTCCCGGCCAGCTGCTCAGCGCACAGTGCACACATCCAGGATGCAGAAGCGGGCACGACAGGTAGGGCAGGGCACACGGCTGGCCAGCCAGGTGTCTGGGCGCTGCGGGTCCTGACGGCTGGCGAACCACTTGCCCATGCAGGTGAGACACCACATGGGGCGGCAGTAGCACTGCTGGCACTCGCCCACAGCCGCCTCCTGGCAGGTCTTCACCAGCTTCACACTTGCACGCGTCTGCATGCAGCCAATGCATGCCTCCAGCTCCTGCAGGCAGACAGAGTCACTCAGAACCTCAGGACAGCCTTGGGCCCACCCACCAGCCCGCACCAGCCAGCCTCCCACCTGGTTGCTTGGCACCGAGTAGGCTGGGTTGACCTCCACCAAGGAGGCGAACGTCTCCAGGAACAGGTCGCCCAGGCTCTGGCGGATGACCACATTGGCTGCGCTGCGAATTGGTGCTCGAAGTTTCTCACACAGTTCCCCATACTCTGCCGAGTTTAGCCTGCAGAGAGGCATGGCCTTCAGCCAGAGCCTGGCCAGGACCCTGGGGCCAGTGAGGAGAGGGGAGATCCTAGCTGTGCCCCAAGGGGGAATGGGCAGCCACCCTCCAAGCCCAAAAAGATGGCCCTGAAGCCAGCGCCTATACCCCACATAGCTTCAGGGATAGAAAACCTAAGTCAAGGCAGTCACTGAGCTTGTGTGCCAGCACTGTCCCCAAGATGTGTGGAAGGGAGCTCAGGGGAAGCCAAGAGCATGGGGGCTAGAGGGGACCCTGAGGGAGAATGATGCTGGAGGGGTCAGTGGCCAGTATGTCCCAGATGCCTAGTACCAGGCAGGCCCACACTTGTCATGCCCAGTGCTTCCCTGGGGCATAGAGGCCAGAACCTGGCACTGGCTTCATGCACAAACTCTGAGGCCTCCTCACTCTTACCGAATGTCAAAGGCCTGCACACCCGGGCCGGCGCTAGCCACGTGGATGGTAAGGAGCTGCACCGGTAGGTTGGAATCTGGTGAGAGCTCATGCTGCCGCGACTCTGTCACAATCAGGTGCACATCTTGCTGCTGGGCCACGTGCACACGGTAAGTGGTCACCTTCATCACCCATGTGTCTGTCACGATCACTCGGGCGCCTGGCACCCCAGTGGCAAACTTGTCGATCCGCCGGAACTCAGTGTTGATGGAAGAGGCCACAGCCTGCCAGCCTGACTGCGGGAGGGCGTAGAGTGCCAAGGTGCGGGCCAGTGGGTGGCGGGCCCACTGGTCAAAGGACCAGTAGTAGATGAGGGTGCAGGTGAGGGAAGGTAGGGTCACGGCCATCAGGAGAAAGAGCCGCCAGGCCTCTGGGGCCTGGCTGGGGGAGTAGAGCCGCTTTTCTGAGGCAGCAAAGCACATACCCACGTAATAGCCTGCAAAGGATTAGATGAGCTCAGGGGAGGCCAGGACTGCTGTGACAGTGAGCATTAGATGATGCTCAGGGTCACAGCATCTTCCCTGTGCCAGGGGGTGGGGGCCTCTTCTCTCATCCAGAGCCCTGGGCCTAGCCCTCCACCCTGGTCAGCTACCACTCAATCTTTACCCACATCAGTGGTACAGTGTACTAGAGGAAAATATTTTTAATTTACTGCTTCAATTTTTCACAATTAATGAGTATCAAAAAACTACAAAATCAACTTGGTGTCCATAGCACGGTGGTTGCAGTGCCAGCCACATACACTGAAGCTGGCAGATTCAAATCTGGCCCAGGCCAGCTAAACAGCAATGACAACTGCAACAAAAAATAGCCAGGCGTTGTGGGTACCTGTGATCCCAGCTACTTGAGATGAGGCTAGAGAATCACTTAAGCCGAAGAATTTGAGGTTGCTGTGAGCTGTGATGCCACAGCACTCTACTGAGGGTGACATAGTGAGATACTGTCTCAAAAGAAAGAAAAAAGAAAAACTACAAAATCCAAGAAAAGCAAAAATAAACAGAAAATACACCTCCTCTGAGGCAGCAAGTCAGACATGGTCACCCCAGAGCTGGAAGTCTTGTGTGAGTAAGCAAGTGCATGAAGGGCCATAGCATGGGGCAAGGACACTGCGGGAGCCAGCTGAAGGGCTCTGCTGGCCATGTCAAAGATGATTCCAAGGCCAAAGCGAATACCAAAGATAACCAGGGGCGCAGGTTCTAGTTTCAAAGAAAATAGTAAACTTTGGGCTTGGTGACTGTAGCACAGTGGTTACACACCAGCCACATACACCAAAGTTGGCGGGTTCAAACCAGGGCCAGCTAACCAACCAACAATAACAGCAAGAACAAAAAAAAATAGGCAGGCATTGTGGTGGGCGCCTGTAGTTCCAGCTACTTGGGAGGCTGAGGTAAGAGAATCATTTAAGCCCAAGAATTTAAGATTGCTGTGAGCTGTGATGCCACAGCACTCTACCAAGGGCTACATAGTGAGACTCTGTCCTCCCTCCCTCAAAATAGTAAACTTTGGAGAAAACCCCCTACATTTTCAGGAAATCTGCTACATAATAAGTAACATGTCTATGAGGCTTGAAAGCTTTTCTAAGAAAGTTACAAATAAAAGGAAGCTCTTCTGTCTGCTTTGGATGTGGCCCCAGTGAGTCACTTCTGCTCCTTAAGTTTGGGTTTCCCTCCATGGTGGGTCTGGGAGCTGCAAAATCTCCCACACAGCCCTGGGTAGTAACCTGACTGGGACACTCAGCCTCCGGTCCCCACTTTCTTCATCTGCCTCAGCGGGGCTGGACCCTCAGGAGCAGAGATGTGGGCTCTCAAGAGCGCCCTGCTCTGTCCACCTCCTCTACAAGGCAGGGCCAGGGAGCCTCCCCCACTCCTGCCTCCAGCTCCCAGGGGCCCAGGCTGCTTCATCCCCACACTACTGGGACACCTGTCCTGTGTCCACAGAGCTGTGACCCTAGCAGGAGAGCCACCTGCGTCTGCACCCATCTTCTGGAGAGGTCCTACCTGATGCCCCTCCCTTATTCTCAGCCAGCTCGTTCTTGGCTAGCACGTGGGCCCGAGGCCCCGCAAACCAGGCTGTCCGCCTCTGCCTGCCCTGCCCACACCCATCCTCCATGGAGAGGTCCGTCCCCTCTATTGGAGTCGGCCTCCTGGCAAGTGGGTAAGGGCTATGAGATGGCAGGGCCCCCCACAACCTGGGAGCTGCTTCTCCTGTAACAACATTCTTTTCATCTGCCAGAAGTCAAGTAGCCCATGCATACTTTCCTTCTCATCAGCAAGCATGCAGTTTTTCCTCTTTAAGTTGATCTCTATCCCAGGTGTTAAGATTTTATGCAACCTTGTTAAAATACTGTATAAAGCTGTTTCCATGGTTGGGGTGCTGGCTGCAGCCATCAACCTAACTCAGTCCTCCCGACGCCATCCTAGCTCTTACTTCCTGTCTTTCTTTGCCTCTCCCTGTCTTTCTTGGTTTTATTTCACCATTTCCACTCAGATCAACTCTCCCTCCTCGAACCGGTTCGTGAGACTGGCACCTGCCATCCCCCCACACACGGGCTGCCGATCTTGCGACCACAGCAACGCCAGCGGTTCAGGATGTGAGCCCGGCAGGCCTCACAGACAGGATGCTTAATCCCTGCCCAGGGTCCTGAACTTGGGTTTCTGGCCCTGGTGAGCCAGTGCTGGCGGTGCTGCCCACCCCGGAGAAGCCCGGCCGTCCCCGGTCCCGGGCGGAAAGCCGGAGGCGGCGCCTCACCGAGCGGCAGCAGCGAGTGGCAAAGCAGTGTGGCGGCCGTGCGGCGCAGGTGGAAGGGCACGAAGGCGGCGTCCTCGCTGCCCAGCCAGCCTGACAGCAGGTTCTGCACCGTAAGCCCAGCCGAGTGGAATTCATTGGGCGTGAACACGAAACACACGGCGAAGACCAGGTAGGCCAGCGTGAAGGTCACCTCGGGGCTATCCATCGCGCCGTAGCCGGAAACCATCCAGCGAGACCTTCCACCCCGGTGCGGGCGAGAGACCGGAGCGTCTAGTCTCGGCGGGTCGGTTGCGGCCACTGCCGCCGCCCGGCCGCCATGGGGCACTCTGGGAGATGGAGTCCCTTCCTTACGTCATGCCGCTCCTGGTACATTCTGGGAGATGGAGGCGCCTCCCTACCCGCGTCATGCTGGCCGCGGAGCGTTCTGGGAGTTGGAGTTTTTCCCTCAACCCCATCAGGGGCCGGAGGGGCACAGGGGAAGATTTAAGCCCCCGCCACCTTCACGGCTCTCGCGGGGCATTCTGGGAGAATGGAGTCCCCGCCTACATGTCAGGCCGTCCGCGGTGCATTCTTAGGAGTATCCTCCGTCAGGCCGCTCGTGGGGCACTCGGAGATGTTGAAGCCACACACACGGCAGTCTAGGAGATGGAGTTCCCCTTCGCCACGCGAAGCATCCTGGGAAATGGCGTCCCCATGCGTCAGTATGCCCACCAAGCACTGTGCAATGGGGGTCCCGCTGCCCGGCCGCCACCGACTCTGGGAGACGGAGCCTCGGAGACCCCAGTGCAGCCAAAAGCCGTGAGCTGTCCCGACAGTTCCCACTACGGCGCGGTCTCCTCAAGGCCGCCCTACGAGTAGCGCTACACTTAATAGCTGGGGAAACTTAGGCCCCGGCCATGCCGCGCAGCCCAGTCGCTCCCGCCGCAACGCGCGAGGGCCGCGGGACCGTAGTGGGTCTCGCGCCCACGGGTCGCCACCGAGCAGCCACTCTCCTCGGCGAGCCTGCGGTCTTGGTAGCACCAGCCACCTCCGGTGATCCGGGAAGCGGAACCGCAGGCGCGCGAGGGACGGGGCTAGCTAACGGGGATTCCCATTGGTCGCTCGCGTGATCCCTCCTCGGCTGCTCGCTGATTGGCCCCGCGGAGCCAACGGTTGGCGTTTGAATTCACGGGCGCGGCGGAGGAGGCGGCGGCGGCTACTGGACTCAGTTGTCGGGACTCGGCCCCGGCGGAGAGGCGCGACTCCCTTCGTTCCTCGCGGTGGTGGCACGGGCCTGGAGCCCGGCAGTGGCGGGCAGGTAGATGGGCAGCTGCCGTTTCCCCCTCGAGGGTCTCGGGTTCTCACGTCCCAGAACGTGGCTGCCGCTGGGCTCGGCCCTTCGGTTCCCGCCGGTCGCGGCTCCCGGAAGCGTCCCCTCCGCCCGCCCCGCCGCGTCAACGGGCCCCGCAGAGCCCTGCCTCGCGGTCTGGAGCTCACTAGCGCTTCTCTTGTGGGCGCCTGTGCGTGTGTCTCTCGGAGCCTTTGCCAGGCCTGGCCCCAGCGGTGCCCCCGCCCGGCTCCGGATCCAGGAATCAACAAAAACCCCGCCTGCCGGAGGGCTCGCAGCCAGGGCCGGCAGGAAGGTTTCCTGGGTCACCATGTCCCTAGTACTAGGCTTGCGCACCTCAGGATGAGGGAGCACCCACTCCCCGTGCCCTTGACCCGGTTGTCCAAGCAGGAGGTCTCAGCCTTGCCTTTGACTTGTGTTCGCTTTTCCCCTCCACAGGCCCGCTGTCCGGGGCAGGGTCTTGCCTCCTGCTCTGGCTGCAGGACCCCGTGGATTCCCCACTTCTCTCCTGCCCTTCTCTTTCCACTGGCACATAGTGGCCCTCTCAGGACGCTTTTGACCTCCCATAAGTGGCCGTGGTGGTGTTCCTCTGAGCAGGTTGACACTTGGTTCTCTGCTTGCCCCTGGTTCTGGAACCCTGTAGGTGCAAAGGGTGGAAAACCACGTCAGTGACTAGTGTGAGAACCTGAGAGGCAAGAGTGGAGCATTCTAGATCTTTCTGGGCCTGACTGGAACCCCTAATGTAGAAGTTCCTGGACACCCACCCAGTTATTATCAGTCTCCTGGCCTCTCCTCTGAGCCTCTATGCTTTGGCAGCTGGTCTGGGGCCTGTCTGCCCTCTGTTCCCTCTGGTACCCCACAGCACATGCAAAAGCCTGTGGGAGACCAGGGCTGCCCTGGTCTTCTGGTTTTTCTTCAGGCCAGGATTTCCTATCTCCTTTCTCCTGACAGAATAACCCAGCAGTAAGAGTTGTTAGGAGAACTTGGGGTTTGTTTAGTTTTTTTCTTTTCCTGTCATCTCAGCCTGAGCCCTTTTTATCTCATAGTCCCAGGAGTGGAAGGGCTGCCTGAAACTCCCCCCGCCAGGCTGAAGAGTCAGAGTTCCTGAAGCAGGCCAAGGGCCCTCCCTGAGGTTTTCTCTGCCCTGCTTAGCAGAGGACACCTGTGACAAGTGTGAGCTCCAGGGTGCTAACCACACCTGTTCAGGAAGGGGATGTCTTTCCACAACACTCTGGGGCTCTCTGCACCTGGGTCGCATCTGTACCCAGATGTCATCCTCACACTGACACAAGATGTTCTGCTTTTCTAGAATGAGTCTGCAGGTCCTAAATGGCGAAAACGTCACCAGTGAAAAAAGTACAGAAAGCTCCGACTTCCTGTTTTCACCACCACAACTTACCGGAAGCTTGTCTGTTCTTCGTCCATCACAGAAAGAAAATGTCCCACCCAAGAACCTGGCCAAAGCTATAAAGGTAAGTGTGGACTCTACCGTGTATGGCCTATCAGCTTGCCCTGGGACCTGGTTCTCTAGTGACACAGGGTTACCGACATGGTTATAAGGATGTGAATTAGCAAACAAGTGCTTTCTTCTCAATCCCTAACAGGTGACTTTTCAGACCCCTCTGCGGGATCCCCAGACACATAGAATCTTAAGTCCCAGCATGACTAGTAAACTTGAGATGCCTTTTGTGCTGGATGACACCACTGGGTTGGAAAACTCTCACCAGGTCTGGACACAGAAAGAGAAGTAAGTATGGGTGCTATGGAAGGTACTATAGCTTCATAGCCTCTGATTGACCCTGCAGGGTATTCTGTCACATCCTACAGATTTCCCCTCGTCTCTAATGAGTTTTGTTGTTGCTGTTGGGGATTTTTTTGTTTGTTTCTTTTAGACAGAGTCTTATTTTGTCACCCTTGGTAGAGTGCCATAGTGTCATAGGTCATAGCAACCTCAAACTCTTGGGCTCAAGTGGTCCTCTTGCCTCAGTTTTTCTTTCTTCTTCTTTTTTTTTTTTTTTTTTTTGAAACAGAGTCTTACTGTGGTGCCCTTGGTAAAGTGCCATGGCATCACAGTTCACAACAACCTCAAACTCTTGAGCTTAAGCAATTCTCTTGCCTCAGCCTCCCAAATATCTAGGACTACAGGTCCCCACCACAACACCCAGCTATTTTTTTGTTGCAGTTGTCATTGATGTTTAGCTGGCCCAGGCCAGGTTCGAACCCATCAGCCTCAGTATATGTGGCTGACGCAGTAACCTCTTTGCAATGGGCGCCAAGCTTCAGTTTTTCATTTTTAATAGAGACGAGGTCTGACTCTTGTTCGGGCTAGTCTCAAAATCATGAGCTCAAGCAATCCACCCGCCTCTGCCTCCCAGAGTGCTAGGATTCAGGCATGAACCACGGCACCCGACCCCTCTAATGAGTTTTTGACCATCAATTACTCAGAATAAGTCTTCACTTCATACTTCACTACTGTCCTGTGCCCTTGATGTCCAGTTAGTTGGCCTCAGTCTGTTTCTCTAACTCATTAGAATGTCCTGACCACACTCCAGGAAACAGCAAGCTGCAGTTCCATTTTTCTGTTTAATTTTGCTCTTCTCAGCACTTGGAAAGAGGAGACAGAAACTTGTATGCAGAAAAGTTTCTATACTACCAGTCAGAATGTGTGTGGAGGCTCGGCGCCTGTGCCTCAGGTGGCTAAGGCGCTAGCCACATACACCTAAGGTGGCGGGTTCAAATCTAGCCCGGGCCCGCCAAACAACAATGATGGCTGCAACCAAAAAATAGCTGGGCATTGTGGCGGGTGCCTGTGGTCCCAGCTACTTGGGAGGTTGATGCAGGAGACTCACTTGAGCCCAGGAGTTGGAGGTTGCTGTGAACTGTGATGCCACAGTACTCTACCCAGGGGGACAGCTTGAGGCTCTGTCTCAAAAAAAAAGAACATGTGTGGTCAAAGGGTTGGGCCTGACAGCACCAAGCATGTCCTGCCTTTGCCTAAGAAGGACAGGCCCTGGAGGCAGTGCTTCTTGCCTTTGCTGAATGAGCCTATGTTCTCACATCCATGGTGGCAAGAGCCTCACGGCACAATTTCCTACTAGTTTTTGCTGATTTAACTGTTCAAGACTCTTAAATAGATTTTAGATGTATAGAGAAAAGTACAAAATAGCATTAATATGCTCTCTACCAACAACTATAGGCAACCTTTTCTATGTCCTCTTCTGGCCCATGTGCCCATCTATGTGAGTCAGAGAGCATACAGGAGCTGGGAAGGCCAGGGAGCACAGCCCTGAAAGATTCAAGCCACGAGCATCTCTGGCCTTGTCATCAGTGACTCAGGTTCCCAGTGTCCCTGCCCTGTGACTGTCTATCTCTTTTTAGAACTCTGCTGTGTGCTGGGGACCGTGTAAGGCCCAGGGGGCAGTCTCTTCATAGAGCCCCTGGGTCAGCAGGGATGAGTCCAGAAAGTGGTGACGGGTGGCTGACTGTCAGTGCATTGTCCCCAAGTATGGCTGAGGTGGCTATCTGGAGGTCACCACCACCACAAGTATCAGCTGAACAGAACAGCAATGGTGACCAGTCCAACAGGCAGGCAGTTCCTCACTCTCAGTTTCTTAGTTTTAGCATTTCCAAACTTGAAGAGTTGGGATAGATGGCAGGGAGTGCAGGGCCTTCCTCTGAGGCCCTAGACTGAACCTGGCTGTGAGAACCCTGCCTCTTGTGAGCAGCCAAAGGAGGCACAGCAGCTCATGCCCTCAGCACTGTGCCAACAGACCTGTCAGGGCTCTGTGGCCTCTGTGCCCAGCCACCCTGCAATAGATCTAAGGCACGGCAGAACAGTGGTGCCCTGTGATAGGTCCTGGGCCAGTGTAGTTCACATCCCAGAAAGGAATCACCAAGGCCAGCCGCTCAGGCACTACTTGATTTTTTTTTTTTTAATTAAATGATAGCTGTGTACATTAATGCAATCATGGGGTACAGTGTGGTGTTTTCATATACAATTTGAAATACTTTCGGGCATTACTTGATTTAAGGGCTGCATCACTGACCCTAGCTGGCCTCTCTTCAGCAAAAGTTTGAGAAGCACAGAAAACCATCACCTGGATGGTTGGCTTGTCACATCTCTGCTCTCTCAGCCTGCATGTCCCCACTTGGTTGCCAGCACTGGTCTGTGGTCATATCCTTGGGGGAGATTTAGGCCAGAGGACAGGGTTGACTAAATGTTCTTGTTTTTTGCCTAAGCTAACAGATATGGTAATTTAGGATTTTTTTTTTTTTTTAGTAAAGAAGAGTTTCACTTATAGCCTTCCATAGAGTGCTGTGCTGTCACAGCTCACAGCAACCTCTAACTCCTGGGCTTAGGTGATTCTCTTGCCTCAGTCTCCCAAGTGGCTAGGACTACGGGCACCCGCCACAACGCCCAGCTATTTTTTTGTTGCAGTTTGGCCAGGGCCAGGCTTGAACCCGCCACCCTCAGTATATGGGGCCAGCACCCTACTCCCTGAGCCACAGGTGCCGCCCATAATTTAGGATCTTTATGATAGGGAATTTCCTTTCAAGGATTAGAAACACAAGATGGAAATAAAGTTTTATTGCTATACCCACTGGGGGTACATAGGTGGCATACCTGGTGGCCACACATGGAAAGTGGGGGGCATTGAGAGCATGGCAACTAGCAGCACATCATGGGTTGCTTTGAGCTCAATGGCAAATGCCTAAGCTGTCCCTTTAAAGGAAATGGCAGGAGGTTCAGCTCCTGTGGCTCAAGTGGCTAAGGCACCAGCCACATACACCTAAGGTGGTGGGTTCGAATCCAGCCCAGGCCCACCAAACAACAATGATGGCTGCAACCAAAAAAAATAAAAATGGCCAGGTGTTGTGGCAGGCGCCTGTGGTCCCAGCTACTTGGGAGGCTGAGGCAGGAGACTCACTTGAGCCCAGGGGTTGGAGGTTGCTGTGAGCGTGATGCCACGGCACTCTGCCCAGGGGGACAGCTTGAGGCTCTGTCTCAAAAAAAATAAATAAAAATAAAGGAAGTGGCAGGAAAGTAGGGAGCCCGATCTGCACGGTGGGAGAGAGGCCTCTAAGATTATGCCTGGCATGAGCCATTTGGGCATGTCTACCTCCTAATGCCCAGACAGCAACCTATGCTGTATGGTTCCTGTTACAGTTGACATGGGGGTAGGTTGGTGTTCCTGGGCATTAGACCACACTCATGGTGGCAGAGACTGTTTGAATAGCACAGACCTTAAAGGCACAGGGCAAATGTGAATCTGGCACCTAAGAAGGTATTTGGTGAGTGTGAAGAAATAAACAGTCACAAAGCCCACCACAACTGGAGACACTGTGTGCAGCCTCCCATTCCACTGAGAGGTCAGCATGGCCAGCCAAGTACGGAGGAAGGTGATCACCACCTCGCTGAAGAACTGGGAGTCAGGGAGGGGTGTGGAGCTGGAAGCTGTTTCTAGGGTGATGGGTCCTGCTTCTAGAAGGTTTAGGTCAGAGTGACATGAGAATTCACTCCAATTAATGTTAAATAAGTCTGTTTTTGAAAAGCCAACAGTTTATCAAGGAAGTGGACTCCAAAACGACCAATGGAATTTTGCAGAAACAAGTGGTGGCTGGTACTGACACTACTGCAGGGAATACATCTACAGCCTTTGAAGGTGGCATCTCCAGGGAGCTGGGCCTGGATCCCCCTGCCAACCCACGGGCTTCCAGCTCTCCCCAGAGCCCAGGAAGTCTCAGAAGCCAGGTGGCATCTTCACAGAAAACTTCTGGCTGCCCTGAGCGAGCACTGGAGGAAGCTGCTAGAACTCCTTCCTCAGACTGGAGTGTGACACCCTTCTCTGAGACCCTGGGAGACCCTCCCAGGACAGCAGACACCCCCAAAGCAGAGATTCCTCTCAGGGATGAGGGAGAAAGTGCAAGTGGCGGGGGCTCTCCCTCCTCAGCCACAGCTGCTGCACCTCCGGGCATAAGCCCCAAGGGAGCACGTGGAGGGGTGTCCCCAGCAGGCCTGCCTAGTGAGGCCCCAGCCTCCCCTGGGGGTGTGAGCATCCCCATGCCAGCAGACAGTGCCCAGTCCCTGACCCATCCTGAGAATGTAGCTGCACCTGGGCCCTTGGTGGCTGACAGGTCCACAACCCTGAGTCCTAGGGAAGAGGCCACTGGCCAAAAGGCCAACTCCTGGCGGAGTGAACCCATAAGACTAGAATTTGATTTTTCTGATGGTGTCACTAGCAAAAGGGCACCCCCACAGAGGAGACTTGGAAAGAGACCTGGCCTCAAACCCCCCTCAAAGAGAACGGAGGTGAGGCAAGAGCAGGCCTCCCAGGAGGCCGAGGAGGGAGGCACAGGTAAGGGGCAAGCTGAGCACCCCAAGCCTGCCTCCCGAGGCTCTTACCACCTCGACTGGGACAAGCTGGGTGGCCCAGACTTAAACCCATTTGGAGGCGGCGCCAAGTCTGCTGACAGGGAAGCCAGGCCCCCAGGAAGTCCTGAGACCATGCCAGCCCAGCCTGTGGCTGCACAGCTGGGAGATGAGCCTCAGGCCACCGAAGACTCAAGTGTGAGCCTGTAAGTCCTACGGGTAGTAGTGTTGGGTGGGTGCTCTGTGGAGTGCGTGGTCAGGGCCCGAGTCCAGAAACACCACTAGGACACTTCTTTGTGTCCAGGGAAAGCCCTGAGGCAGGGGCCTCTGGGCAGACAGGGCTGAGCTGAGGAGACAAGGCTGTGGCCAGTGCCAGGACCTTGGCTGCTGTGCACTCAGTTTAAAGAAGAGTCAGGCTGGCTCAGGGGAAGAGCAGAAAGTGCCAGCTCAAGAGCAAAACCCTCTCCCCCAGCTATGATCCCTCTGCAGATGAACCTGAATTAGGTGCGTGATGCCAGCAGCCAGACGGTGATCTACTCGGTCCTTGCGTGTGCCTTCTGGTGGAGCACATGGCTCTGCTGGCTGTCATCCTGTCCCCCGCCACCTTGAGCATCCTCCGAGGCTGGCCTTTGGCTGCTGTTTGCTGCCTCCCTGAGGCCGTACTCATGGCTTGAGCTGCTCTTCCAGAGGATGGATTATGTCTTCCCACCTGTCCCCTCAGCCCTTTGCTGATTTTTTTTTTTTTCTTTTTTGAGATAAGAGTTTTAACTCTGTCATCCTCAGTAGTCATAGCTCACAAAATCTCAAACTCCTGGGCTCAAGCGATCTTTCTGCCTCAGCCTCCCGAGTAGCTGGGAATACAGGTCTGAGCCCCAACATTAGGGTTCTTTACTCATTTCACAGTCAAAGGACTGTGTGCATCATCTTTGCTGACCCACTCCTCCCAGAGAGCAGGGCACCTGCTTTTCATGCTGAGTGGAGTTGCTAAGGGCAGCTCTGTGACCAGGTCCATTGGGCAGCCTCTGGAGCTAATCACTGACGTGACCACAACCATGCAGGTGGGAGGCAGGTGGCACCCCAGTGCTAGGGGCCACAGAGCCAGGCACCCACCTGTCTGCTGACTGTCTCTCCAGGCAGCTGTTTCCAGCCTCAGTGGAGGACACCCCAGTGATGCAGACAGCAGCTGAGACCACGAGTGCAGATAGTAAGGTGCGCAAGTGAGGGCAAGTGCTCTGCTTTTACCTGTGCAGAAAAGCATTGGGGTGACAGGGTGGGACACCCTGCTCTCCCCACTCTGGCCACAGAGTGACCCTCACCTTCTCTCCAGGCAGGAGACAAGAATTCTTCGGGCACATCGGCTCCCACAAGCTATCTGGGCAGTGAGGCTGGCCTCCCTGCTCATCATGGGCCGCAGCTTGCCTTGGAGCTGAGAGAGGAGAGCTTCAGAGACCCTGCTGAGGGTAAGTAAGTCGCCTTGGGTGAACATCCTCTGTGTCCTAGGAACATTGTTCAACAGCTTGACAACCCTGTCACAGGCAGGTGATTGTCCCACCAACTGGTCTTTCTCCTCTTGTTAAGTGACTTATATACAAACCTCTAACTTATCAAAAGATAGGTATATTCTGTAGGACAGGGCATACCTCTTTAACATAAAGGACTTCTAGGAGTGGAAATTGCACACTCAGAAAAACCAGCAGAAGATGTAGATGAGGCAGTCCAGACACGCACATGCATGGTCATCCCTGAGGTGCATGGCGATCAAGGAACAGTGACAAGGTGAGAAGCTTAATCCTCCAATGCCAGCCTGCAGTCACTATAGCAGAGGGCTTCTGAAGAGACGAACAGGAGAAAAACTTGAGCACTTGCCATGAGGCTGGTGCTAGAAACCAGCTGTGTCACAGCAGCTGAGCCACATTCATCGGACTCTGGATGTTTCCACTTTTTAGCTGTTGTGAATGCCATGAACACCCATGTCTTTTGATCTTTGATCCATCTGGAGTTAACTTTTGCATATGGTATGAGGTACCTTCGGTTCTGATTCAGACCTATGTTTTTATTTCTTCTGCCTGTACACCTGGAGGGGGACTGTGCAATTCCTGGTGACCCTGTGCTTAGCTTTTAGAGGACATCCCAGCCTGTTCTCCAGAAGGGTTGCACCACCTCCAATCCATGCGGTACAGGGGCCCCGCACCCACACTTGTAACTGTGGCACTTGTTACTGTCACACCACCAGCCTACTGCGTGCAATTTGCATTTCCCGATGGCTAATGAACATCTTTGGGGCTTCTAGAGTTGTTTTTTTTTTTGTTTTTTTTTTTT